GGCTTCTTTTATTTACACCGGGTCCAACCAGAATGTCCAATCAGAAGCGCCGCTGGTCGTCAGGACAGATTCCTCCAATGGGGGTCGCCGCGCCATGCGTCAGACCACCAGACACGCGGACGCCGGCTCGCTGTCACGCGCGCAGCTGACTCAATGCACGTGGGCCAGGGAGGCGCCGCGCGTGTTCACTCCGTCGAGTTGATCGCGCCAGGCGGACTGCGGGCTGGCCTTGACCCAGATTGCCTTTTTCCGAGGCACGGACGTTTGACGAGGACTCGCTGGCATAACAGCACCCCCGCCGCCAGACAATGCACCGGAAAGACGAGCTGCTTCCACGAAGCTCGGATGTCAGGTGCGCTCGTTCGCCAGGTCCCTCCAGGTTCGCCTCCAGGGCCATGGGGAGAATACAGCTCCGGACTGTTCCGGGAACACATCCCATTTTTGACGACGGATCCCAGCTCCAGTGGCTTGTCGCCACAACTTGTCGACCAGCTTCACTCGTCTCTTCTGACCATCTTCGGTTTCAGCACTTGTCGATGGTTCTGCAACTTGCCAAGAACGGTTCGACAACAGACAACATACGACACAAGCAAGTGCCCTCGGTCACCCGACAGAACACCAGACAAAGTATAGTACAACATATACCTATCTACGTGTCTATTGGAATTTTGTTCCCTCTACATCAAGAGGCACATGTGGGACACAAGACTCTTAAAATGACAACTCAATTTTTTTTTTCCACGTGCAACAACGTAACGAACTAGAATACCACAAAGTTGGCCCCTTGAGATCACTCTAAACGAGAGCGCTCAGCCCAGGTCGTGATGAGGTCAAAATTTTGCCCCGAATCGCCAGCGAGAAACCGAAAGGTTGAGAAGTTACTAGCTGGAACGCACGGCTCAATGCACCTGCATTAGCGTTTACCTTTCCTTTTTTTTCTTTAGCGAACGTCAAAGTTGCGCTGTGGAGCAACATGCTCCACTTCAGTAACCGGCCACTTTTAGGCGACGATACCTATGCGGCACCAAGAGCGGCTCACACTTTCGACGTTGCACAGGGGAACAACGATACGGCTTGCTACGGATTGACTCCTCACCGCTTAGCTCGATATCGTGTTCGATCACCGTCGTGTCTCCGGGACGGTCCGACAACACATACCCAAACTCGGAAACAATCTTTCTCAGGTCCTCTTTCTCAGGTCCTCCTTCACTTAAGCTAGGCTCTAGGTTTATCTGCTCCCGGATTACTTTCGATCCCCCTTCAATTACCTTACTAGAACTCAAATTTTCTGCTTCCTCTTCCTCTGAAGCCTTCAACAGCTGATTTACGACCGCTTGATGTTGGACGTATGGTTTCATCAAGTTGTAAATTTTGTCCGGCCGCCTTCCTAATTCCACTTCATAATTTGTATCGCAAGGCTTCGATAATACTTTGGCGGGCCCTTCCCAATCAACCTCAAGCTTGTTCTTTTTGAACGGCTGCAGCAGCATTACCTGATTATCAACTTCAAAAGCGCGCTTCTTCCCCGATTTCTCGTAGTGCTCCTTCGACAGCACTTTTGCCGCGTTTTTCTGGCTTTCCACTAGCGCTTCAATTTGGCTTTCCACTATTGCTTCAATCTGGCTTTCCACTAGCGTTTCAATTTGGCTTTCCACTAGCGCTTCAATCGAGAGATCCTCACGCTGCTCTCGAATGAGCGTCTCTCGATCAACTCTCGGCAGCTCGCTCCAACTTTCCGCTACAGGCGAGAGCGTTGCAACCCCCTCGCTCTGACTCAATGGCGCCATGTCGTCTCCCCTTTCTACGGAAACCGCGCCGGTCGGTTCGGCGACGGGCCGCTCGCGTGACTGCTCACATGACTCATGCGAAAACTTTCCTTTCTGGGGTTCCGTCGACCCACCGACAAGGTCACTTGAGAGTTCACCGCATGGAACCAGATCAAGCTGCCGCGATAGCTTCCGCGCTTGCGATCGCGTGAGAGCCATGCACGCTAAGTTGGGGAAGAACGATTTGCCCTGCTCTTTGAGAAGCTGCTCCGAGTTGTTGGAGAAAAGATAAGGAAAACGATCATTTAGCGCGGCAGACACAGCCGCTTCGGTGCGAAGCTCACCGAACGGGCCTTTAATGACAACCGTGGCGATTGGTAAGCGAACACTCTGCTCCTCGGCGACCTGCCTGATCCACGCGCATTCTCCTGTGAAGTCATCCGGAGACACCAGTGAAGGATGGACAACGTCCATGGTTGCCGCTGAGTCTCTAAGTGCTCGGCACGTTTTCTCATTGACCCTAATTTCTTGGAGATACGGCTCCAACAACCGAATGTTTTTTTCTGATTCTCGGATCGTTGCGAAGGCAAACTTTTCCTGACAGTTTCTCGCGATGTGCCCTTCCTTTTTACAGTTGTAGCAGATTAGCGGCTTCCGTTTGTTTTCCGATTCAGATGCCTGTGTGGTAAAAACCTCACTCGATTTCTCCGCTTCTGTTTGCCCTTCCCCCACACTATCCTTCGTACGAGACGGGTCCTTCTTGAAATTACGGTGCGGAGCGGGTTTCCGTTGATCAGGTTTCTTTGAAAAGCCCTCTTTTCTCTCATCCTTTTCAACGCGCACTGCCCTGCTGTGCAACTTTCGGCGAGTATAATACTCCTCAGCTAACTCTGCTGCCTTGTTTAACCGTACTTCCCCAAGTCTGTCCTGCAGCCAAAGTTTGACATCCTCCTCGATGCAGCGGTAGAATTGCTCCAATGCAACGCATTCCACCACTTTATCGCGGTCGTCATACACACCTTCGCCCTTGAGCCATTCAATTAAATCGGCCTTAAGACGAAACGCGAAGTCAACGTGTGACTCATTCCCCTTTTCAGCATACCGGAACCTTTGCCTGAAAGCCTCGGGTGACAATTTATAACGTCTTAAGAGCACTTCCTTAACCTCGTCATAGCTCTCAAACGCTTCCCTCGACAAGCAAGTTATCGCGTCGGACACTTCGCCGGGAAGAAGAGCTAACAGGTTCCGCGCCCAAAGACACCGCTCCAAAGCGTTTCGCTCACAGACGTGTTCAAACTTGACGAGATACTTCGCCATGTCCTCGCCTACTACGAACGGTGGCAGTTGGTCCCGAATTCTAAAACCGCTGACCTGAATCGTCGGAGAAGCTACGCTAGGCGCCTGCGAACACTGTAGGATTGCCAATTCTAGTCGTTTCAACTCTAGGCGCTCTTGTCTCTCGGCCTCCTCGCGCTCGCGACGTTCGCGCCTTTCAACTTCTTCACGTTCGCGAGCTTCTACTTCTCGCCTTTCAGCCTCCTCACGGCGTGCTTTGATATCCACCCAGGCCTCATCGACTTCCTCAGCCGACACTCCCTCATCCTTCATGATCTCAAGGATCGCTTGCTTTCGTTTCGCACGGCCCAAAGTAATGCCGAGTTCCTCACAAATTTCGATGAGTTCCTTCACTTTAAGGTTCTCCATCGTTCACACCAGCCTCTTGCTGTTTGCCCCTGTTAAGAATCTACTTGCCGTACCCACTATAAGCCTACTAGCAAGACGCGCAAGCAATTTTTCACTCTCCCGTGTTTACCCCCTCCGCATTAACTTTGGTTTCAAAGCACTTCGACTTTGCTTGAAACGATCAAAGCTCACTCTAATGCTTCACACAGCCCTTCTCTAAACTACTACAACCTGAGCTAGAGTAGTCTGGTGAACTGAGGGGAAAACATCAGGCACTCACCGCATCGATGTCGCTGACGCCGGCCGATCCCGCAGCTGCCAACCACTGTTGCGCAAGACGGACCGATCCCGGCGAAGCCACCACTGTTGCGAAAGACGGGGACGCCAACACGGCCTCGAAGGCGCCACTGCTTCCAACTTCGCCGGGAAGGTCACCAGCCGTTTGGTAGCGTATGTTTATCAGCTCGCGACTGCTTCTGCGCAGAGCTGATAAGACGAGCGGACGAGACGACGGTGAGTTAAACAAGGTTTATGTACAGCATATATACAGAGGCGTTACAATTTCGGCACTGGGGCCGACAGAGACTCGAAGAGCCGAGCTCTCCTCTCTAACACATAGATCAGCCTTTCGCCTAAGACCGCTGACTCATACACATGTCGGATCTCCGACATGGGGACTCCTCTCTCGTAGGACTGCCGACCGCGACGTGCCGCAGGGCTTCTTTTATTTACACCGGGTCCAACCAGAATGTCCAATCAGAAGCGCCGCTGGTCGTCAGGACAGATTCCTCCAATGGGGGTCGCCGCGCCATGCGTCAGACCACCAGACACGCGGACGCCGGCTCGCTGTCACGCGCGCAGCTGACTCAATGCACGTGGGCCAGGGAGGCGCCGCGCGTGTTCACTCCGTCGAGTTGATCGCGCCAGGCGGACTGTGGGCTGGCCTTGACCCAGATTGCCTTTTTCCGAGGCACGGACGTTTGACGAGGACTCGCTGGCATAACACTACTCCCTGAGTCGCCAGAATGGCTACTCTTCACCCCAGGGGTATTGTAGTGGAGCATACGCACTAACGTGTATGCGCCTTCCAAAGAGAACAAAAAACCCCGTGCTCTGATTGCGCGAGAACCTATGCCGCTTTTGCCAGACTTGCCGTACGCCCATTTTCCGTCGCGACCTCGTTGCAACTCCTCTGTTTGAATAAATATCATCGTACAATGCACACATGCAAGCAGATAACTGAGGGAGAAATGACTCATAGTTCAACAGGTAGTGTGGCAGCCAATGAACGAGGCTCGCGAGTGGCACAACTTCTTGTCCTGAGAGCCAAGACAAAACACTCCTCCTGCACCATTGCCATTTCCCTCTCCGATATGCCTTCAGCATCGCTCTCACAAGAACAGCTTTTTCGGATTTGAGAGTTCTACAGCTAATGCAATGCAAAACATTTTACATACAAAAGCTATTCCTAGATACTAGCCAACCATGCAACTCAAGTCAAGCCACACTGAGAAGAGCAACAACAAAAGGCAGAAGACAGAGGCCGCTCACGTGATCACACGGTGGGCAGAACCAATCGCCGTCTGGGATGATCATCAGTGCAGGCTTGAGGCAGGACGTGTGGTAGCCCGCATCACACACGTCGCACAAGAGGATCTGTAATGCACAAGCTCACTCCTTCAGTGTTGGACGCCACGTTGTGGTGAGTTCTACAACACCATAACTTACAAAGAACTTTGCCTTGTTTGGCTACCACAAACAGGTTTGTCACACTGTTCTTACTTTCAGGTAAAGATACATGAGGTAAAAAAAAAATCAATTTGCAGTGTCCTCAGAAAACACACAGGTTTTTTTTTTTTTTTCTGATTTACGAAGACCTGGTACTTAGTTGCCTCATGAATTGATTGCCTCGATTCTCACATTCATCAAAAATTAAAAATTTGAGAAGTTACAGGGCTCTGTCACACGCTTTAAGCACTTTCCCTCTTGTTCCGTCGTAATGAGCACACTGAAAAGCTACACAAGGAAGGATGACGAGGGAGAAAAAAAGCTACGTTCCAGAAACAACTGCTACCTTACAGTAAAGCCAAATGCTTACCCGTCCCACCATGACAACTCTGAAAGGAGAATCTGCATGCAATTCTTCCCATGCTCACTTACCCACTCTGGGTGGTCCCCCTTGCCGCATTTGGCGCAGGGCTTCTCGTCCTGCTCCGGTTCACTCTCTTCTCCTCCGCTGCTGCCGCTGGCCTCCTCTACCTCTTCCGTGCGTGCTGCACGCAATATGGAAAAGCGAACAGTGCAGCTTCAAATACCATAAAGCCATTTTGTCGTGTTTTTATTTCGTCGTACATGATAAAAATAATGTGAAAATTAGCACAGGTGGGAACCACAAAATTTCCTTTAGAGCCTAATCAAGGACTATTCCTATTTAGTAGAAACCTTGCTTACTTCCACAGAAAACGAACAGAATTGCCTCATTTAACACGATTCCTTGTCCACTAGACACACTGAATGAGCGAGCATAAGTAAAAGAGGTCTTAGTTATTAGAAAAAAAGCGGAGGATGAGGTTACAGCCCGCACATCGACTGGTTTGGTTCATGTTGCTTGTCGTGAACTAGAATAAAATGCTCCCAGCAGCTTGCAGCAACGAACTAAAAAATGCGTCTCAGCAAAGCTAAGTTCACGCAGCAGTGTGGTAATGTGAACAAATGGGGAGACGACATTCATTTCTTATCTCTTACACAAGGTATCTCTCATAAGGAGATTACCATGTTCCCATTTTTTGATCAACCCCTATTTCGATACAGGCACACTGGTATCGCAATTGCTATTCGTCTCTCCCACCAATGTCTCTCATAGGGTTGAACGTAGTCTTTGGCTGTAACATTGCCTCTCAAGGTCTTAAACTGTACTGCCAGCAGCAGTGAATAAACACTGCCACAATGACTGGCAGACACCCACCTTCTCCTATTTTGAGGAAGCGCAGGTTTTTCTTTGGCATATAAATTTGCTATTTAGTAAATCCACGTTACAATTCCAACATTTCAAGTGCTTTTGAGACATCGCATGACAGGCAGACGATTTTCGTGCACAACAAAAATTTCTAACCAACAGCGAAAGATGAATTGCGAGGAAGAAGCAGTATAAAAATGGTCAATTCTCCTTTATTATGCAATGGGGAATTCGCGTGGCTAATACGATTTTGTATGGCATATGGAGCTAGTGAGTATTAAGCAACACAGACTAGTTCTATGTTACTCCATCCAAGCTTGCAGGAATTGCAGGAAAAGAACAACTCAGGGGTGCAACAACCAAAATAGAATTCGGAGCAGCAAAATGTTACGTTTAGAGCACTAAAATGCAAATCTCGAACAGTTTACAGAAAAACAAAAACCAATTCTTTATCATGAAAGACCACATTTGGAGCAGTATAAAAAAATGCTTACATTTAGCAAAAAAATATATGTACGAAGTACTGAACCCACCAAAATCCTGTAGAGAGAACATGAGCACTGCTATTTCAATAATAGCAGTGTTCCGAATTACTCCACTAAGTAAACAATGAAAAAGTCCACATTAGCATTTGCCACTCCTGCCGAATCTTTTTGACAAACTCTGCGAATTTAAATGTGGCTTCGCCAAACCGGCGACCTTGAAATTGAAGAGATTTCTTAAAACTGAGGATTAGGGGTGGTGGAAAGAGAAACTGTTGCACAAGTTTTTCTTTTTTTTTAAAGGTCAGCGGAAATATAATTTGCTGCTCTAAATCATTGACAGTATCTATTTAGACGTAAGCGATCATACTAGTACTCCCAATTACGCAGGGCGTACACGCGTGAGTAACTGAACAAAATGTGCTGTGTTCCATGACTAGCGCTAACAGCCCCTTCCAAATCAGATCAGACTTTTCCGCGAGACACCAGTGTACTGCGGCGAAGGTGGCTTAAGCACCGTTCTGCTCTGGTTAGAACAAGGACGAGCAGTCCCCCCAACCATGCCCCCAATGGTCCCCCCAATGGTGGTGTCAAGTTTTGCGGCCTGTTATAATCCGCCTTCCTGGCTTGGCGTCACTTAGATGCGTGAGACATTTCCGCTGAGCCTACCCCGATTTCTTCCGGGTTAGTGCTCACAGGAATGTGCCAAAAGCGGCGACAACACGACAGCAGTACTTGGAATTCTCCAGCGCAGCTGGCTCCCTCGTAAAAAAACCCTTTGAACACGCCAGACTGACTGACGTCTTAGCATGGCGACCGTTTTCCACAAGCCATGGCCTGACCGGCGTCGCGAGCCTTATCGATTAGTCACCGCTGCACTTGACCACACATCTGCATGTCTTTGCACCTTGTTGCGTCGAGCATAGTGTTTTTCCCTCGCCATGGGATGAACTGGCCATGCTTCTTCCCTCTTTCCTTGGTTGGGAAGAAAGTGGTGTTTCACCTTACCCTCTTGGGGGCGAAGGTGAAGGTGACAATTCCATAGGACTGTGCTGGCCTCAATAGTTTTCCCTGCAATGGAATCCTAGGAAAACCAAGGCATAAAACGCAACCACCGCGACGCTCCGAACAAGCTACTAGAAGCTCCCATCAAGCTTCCATTGAAAGATTCCATGATATTTCCACCATCATGTAACACACTACCTTAAAAATGTAATTTTTCTAAATAAAAGCTCTTGTTAATAGCCCGGCTACTCTCCTTGACATGTCCCCAAGAGTTTGGCTGGCTCCGGTCCTCTGGGCAGACCCACAACTACATGAGGCTTAACTTCTCGGCTCGCTTGCAAGGTGCGTTAGACCACATAAAGTGACAACGGTGCGCATACAGTGGCGCGGCGGGGGTGCCAGATATCTATCGCCAGGACGACGCAACTTGAGTCCAGAAAAATGTTTACGTGCCACTGCTATGGCAACCCATGTGGTGGCTGGCAACGACGGTGTTCGCAACACGTCAACCTTGATATGTTCCTAACATGCCATAACCACATTTGCTGACTAGAAAATTCTTATTTCCGTTGGTGGCTATAGTAACGCATTTTTAGATGCGAAGCATCTTATGGTTGAGCTCAATGTAGAGTGCGGCGTGACCACCTTTGCAGCACATGCGCACCTCCTCCTCTTGATCCTCTCCTATGATTCCCCTTCTCTCTTCCGAGTCGCTGGCAAAGGCAACGAAAAGCATCCTCAGCAGTGAGGGGTCCACACCTCCACTGCGCATGTGCATCCTCCTTCTCTCTTTCTCTCTTCTCCCATGCTCCAAGTGGAGACGTGTCCCATGTTGTTCGTAGCCGTTGATCGTAGTCCCCAAGGAGGTTTACGTCAAACCCTCTCGCGTGAATGCGAGGGTGTGGGAGGACAATCTTCTCGCGTGAGCAGTGCGTGGAGGTGGGATGGAGGGGGTGGCATGAACACTGCCTCTATGCCACACATGAGCTAACATCTGTGGCTGCGCCGTGGAAAACCTTCTCCGCACATTCCTCCTCCTCACTCACGTTAGGTCGCACACATGCTCAGTTACTGCGCCGGTGTCATAAGTTCCACTGTCAGCCTTGACCCCAGTTGCAGTAATACCTTAATGCCTGCCGAGATCACGGAGCAGCGGAAAGCTCGACATGCCGAAGTTCAAAGTAAACGTCGGCAAGAAGACCCCGAGCTATAAAGGACCAATGTAAATGGTAAACGGCAGCCCCCATGCTGCTTCGCATCACGTCATGGTCCCCTTGAGCGGGAGATGTGATTTTTTTTTTTTTGTCTTGAAGTTCCACCATCCCGCTGATAGGTATCTACTGTGGTCCGCAGACAGATGGGAACACTGGCGTTGTTATTTCATCTCATATTTTATCAGGTCGATCACATCTCGCAGGGTGTTCTCCTCTAACAACTATATTTTACATTGTGGTTTAGGGTCTAAGTGCTTGGCTCGATTGATGACGCCAAGTGTAGGTGGCCAATGTGGCCTCTATTTCCCGCTGAAATTGGTGCACCGTGAGATAATTATGAGACTAATCGGGCAATTTAGCGTAGCATAGCTCAGTTCCCGCATATTACATGGCTTTGGCGTAGTTCGGCACAATAATGGGGTATTGTATGAAATTGGCGCAAGCTGTTGCACCTCTGGCAACTGCACAAGAGTATAAATTTCCTGCTCTGTGAAGACAGACTACGCTTTTTTCTAATACTTTGTCAACACGGAAATCTGCCACAATTTTCTTTTAAACATCTGGTGTCATTTCAGGAATTTCTATTGAGTGCTTGGGAAAACTGAACAAGCATTTCTTTAAGTGGAGCGCTAAATTTCATTAACTAAGGTAGTTTTGCCATTTTCGGTCTTTCTTTAGGTCCACGTCAGTTTATTCCTATAAAAAGATTATGAACTACCAACTTGCCCTTTTACTATTCTACACAATGTTCAGAGCAACAGGACAGAAATTATGACACGGAATCGACCAACAATGCAAGGTAAAAAGAATGCAAAGCCGACGAGCTACGTACCCTTTCTGACAGTGCGCGCCCTCTTGACCACCACCACCTCTGCGTTGGGGTCCACCTCCTCGCAGGCAAACTCGTCCTCATTGTCGTCGAAGTGCAGTTCCTCATCCTCATCGTAGGCCTCTTCCTCATAGGGCTCCTCCTCGTCCTCAAGCTGCGAGGACGAGTCTGAGTCCGACGAGGCCTCCCAGGGGTTGTGGTAAGACCGGCGGCGATATGTGCCGTTCACCCCGGAGCCGCCTCCGTGCTTCCCACCACGGCGTCTCTTCTTCTTCTTCTTTTTCTTCATGGTCTTGCGGCCCTTGACATCATCTTCTTCTTCTTCCTCTTCTGCACGAGCCTTGCCACTGCGCCTGGCCGAGCCCTGACTGCCCTGGTGGGCCTCGCCCTTCTGCAAGTCCATTTCAACTATAAGCCACTCACATGTGTATAATTTAATCCCACCAACTTGAAGACTTTCAGACGCAACCTGTCAACAACTGGGTGTAAATGTTTCAAGTTTATGCAACTTTATTTCAAGGTAGTTGATATCCTATTATTACAAAAATAAAGTCATATTAATTATTCATGATCACAATTCAATAATAATTAGATATTTTTGTCCTTATGTGATTCGTGTTCTGTTTTTGCATAGACTAGAATCAAATCCCAAGCTAGAAATATAATTGTTCTCAATTAAAAAATTTATACTTTTGAAGTGATTTGCAACACGGTTACATCGAACAACACTTGAAACGTGGTAGTGCCACTACCGAAGTGATCACATACATTAATATCCCGCAGAATGACATTAAATGGATATATTCACTATTATGTAGTAGCTTCAATTCATCTAAGCCTCAATATACCTTACTTTTTCTTTGCTGCTTGTCGAGACAATTAACAAGAACAAAGTGTGTACACAAATGTGTACGAAGCATTTCAAAGGGTTAAGGAAACCCACAAAGTGGTTATCCAAATCCTAAAATAAGTGCGTTGTTTCGTCTTCAGGCAAATCCGAATATCTCAGTTTTTCAAATATCTATTTTGGTGGTCTCCCTCGAGTCTGCAACTGCCATTGATTCCCAAGTGCAACTGCGGGTTTGTAAGACTACCACTGTACCCTGTTAACTACATTACGCAGATTTACGCCATCTATAGAAACCCACCTTTGACCTTCGTTTGCTATTCTCTGGAGGAACGTAATCTTTGTCAGCTTGACGACTGCGCTTCTGCAAAACAAAAACCACATAAATTGGAGAAATTATGAAAATACTGGAGAAATCAACCGTAATACAAACCGGCACAACTTCTTATTCCAACGCCACAGTCACATGTGCCACGAAAAGCAGGCAATGCAAGAGAAGGAACACAATTGAAAAGAAAAAAACAAAGATTCCATTGATGTGGCAGGAGCATGAAGCTATAAAGGAGGCTCACACAGGTTTCTTAGGAAAAAGCTTTCGTAATCAGTTGACCCGGTGAAATTTGTTTAGTGAGATAAGCTCAGCTAAAGATTTTGTAAGGGTACTGGTCCTAAGTTCAATATTTGAACAAAGATGCTCCCAACTGCACCCATCTGTTTGTGTTGGTGAAGTTATCACCGAAGCATATATTGATAGATACGTGGGGTTTAACCTTTCAAAAGCCCCATAAGATTATGAGAGATCTCGTAGTGGAGGGCTCCGGAAACTTCGGCCACTTGGGGTTCTTTAACATGCACCAAATTCTGACTGAGCACATGGGCCTACAACATATCTGCCTCCATCGAAAATGCAGCCGCCACAGCCGGGATTCAATCTCGCGACCTGCAGGTCAGCAGTCGAGTACCTTAGCCACTAGACCACCGCAACGAAGCACACTAGCACAAACTATCAACTGTGTAATCAAATGAAAAGCCACGATTATATAACAACAATATGCTGTGCAAAAATGCTTTACCATGCCTGCCGACACACTCACTGAATAAGACATATGCAAATATGTTTAACCAACTAGCTCACCGTTGAGAGGAAGAGTATTTTGAAGGTTTGTTTCTCTTCAGCTGATCTTCCTTTTATCTGGTCACAGTTCTTAGCTGTAGTGCTACCAGCTCTATAAAAATTTCAGGTTGTTCTGTGATGAAACTGACTGAAAAGACTTTTCTTGATCTGGCAACTGAAACACGCCATGCTGTACATGGTCTTGATTTTGGGGCATTACGCAAGTGATGCTGAAAAAAATAGAGAGAGAGAGAGGGGAAAAACAAAAACAGAAAAAAAAGAAATAGTAATGAGAATTGTTCGGGTTTAACTTCCTAAAACCACCATTTGATTATGAAAGACGTCGTAGTGGAGGTCTTCGGAAATTTCTATCACCTGGAGTTCTTCAACATGGCGCCTAAATCTAGGCACACGGGCCCCAAGCATTTTTGCTTCCATCAAAAATGTGACCCCCACGGCAGGGATTCAATCCCGCGACTTGCGGGTAAACAGCTTTAGCCACAAGAACACTGCGGCAGGTAAAAAAAAGTAAAGAAACTTGGTCACTGTTGTGTTCCAAGCACCCCTGTGTGACGAGCGAGCCTCCGAACCCGCGAAGGACCGGATGCTGAAACTGCTTCCAGATGTTGACTCCTCCCCTTCCCCCGCTCGGCGCAAACGAGCCACCGTTCGTTTCCCCCGGCAGTTCGGCCGTCGCCTCCATCCGAATAGGAATAAACTTGTTTTTAACCGTTCGAGGCTGTCTGCGCTTTTTGGACTACTGCGACCAACGCGTACGTCTATGGGCCGACGACAACACCGGACATAACAGTGGCTTCGTGCTTCGCGCTCCCTATCGCAGGCAGAGAGGAATTATTCCCAGCTAGATAAAGAGGGACTTGCCATCGTCTACGCAGCAGATCACTTTCGGCAGTACATTACCGGCAGGAAAGTGACTTTCATAACAGATCACCGGCCCTTATTGGGTATTTTGGGTCCCCAGAAGCCAATGCCACAGACATTGTCGCCGCGAATGACACGATGGTGCATCAAGATGTCGGCGTACGATTACGAACTCGTACATCGCACTGAGAAAAAACACCAGAACGCCGACGCACTAAACCGCCTGCCACTAGACACCACAATAGATGAACCACTCCCGCCGGGTGATATACTCATGTTCGAGGCGCTGCCGAACCCTCCGCTAACAGCTGACACGGTAGCAGCATCAACGCAGGAGTGCACTGTCTTGAAGGAAGTCTACGCAGCTATACAAGAAGGCAACGTGCAGAAGCTAAAGGGTGAACACTTCAACGCTTACCGCAAGCGAGCTGCGGAGTTGAGCACTCATCGCGGTTGCATCACCTTGGGATCAAGAGTTGTAATTCCAGCGGCACTTCGCGAACAGGCCATGTCGCTTGTCCACGCAGGTCATCGAGGCATTGTTGCCATGAAAAAGTGCGCCAGAAGTTATATGTGGTGGCCTGGTATCGACCATGATATAGAATTAACAGTTCACAATTGCCAGCCTTGCCAATGCAACCACAGAAGCCCGCCAAGAGCCCCTATTCCTGAATGGGAAAGACCAGAGACGCCTTGGCACACCCTGCAAATTGATTTTGCTGGACCTATCGAAGGGTGTTCGTTCCTGGTGGTTGTAGACGCATACAACAAGTGGCTGGAGGTAAAACAAATGGCTACAACGACATCGGCAGCAGTTATCGACACTCTGCGGTCGTTGTTTGCAACATTTGGCCTACCGCGCAAGGTGGTCTCGGACAACGGCACTCCGTTTGTGTCCACGAAGATTCTCAAGTTTTACAGCGACAACGGCGTCTCGTCTGTTACATCAGCTCCTTACCACTCGGCTACGAACGGACAAGCCGAGCGCTACGTGGCTGAGCTAAAGCGCGCCCTTACTAAAGACCAGACTGGGACAATGCAACGCCGCATCGCGCGCTTTCTCTTCAGACAGCACAACACTGTTCAAAGCACTACTGATCAAACGCCAGCGAAATTGATGTTCGGACGAAAAATGAGAACCCAGCTGACAGCAATTGTCCCGGAGCCCTCAGCGAAAGCACCGTCGGAGGAAGAAAAGCTCCCGCATAGCAGGAGAATTGAAAGTGGACAGCGCATATACGCCCGTCAGTTCCACAGAAAGCCCGGCTGGGTTGAAGCGACGGCACTCAAACGCATAAGTTTGCGGTCATGGCTCGTCGACATTGGTGGAAAGGCCACACGCCGCCACCTTAATCAGCTACGCCATTCAGGTAATTTGCCAAGGGAACCTCCCATTCAAGCAGCCACCTCGACGGAAGCTTCGTTCCATTTAGCCTGGCATCTCGCACCAGATGAATCGGCGCCGCCGCCCGCCGGCCCTGAACACAAGAGAAACGACACCCAGCGAGCGGAGGCTTCTCTTCCTAGTGCGTCCAGAGCGTCCACGCGCCCACGGCGGCCCCCAGATCGATTCCAAGCGACAATCTAGGGAGGGAGGAGATGTTGTGTTCCAAGCACCCCTGTGTCACGAGCGAGCCTCCGAACCCGCGAAGGACCGGATGTTGAAACTGCTTCCAGATATTGACTCCTCCCCTTCCCCCGCTCGGCGCAAATGAGCCACCGTTCGTTTCCCCCGGCAGTTCGGCCGCCGCCTCTATCCGAATAGGAATAAACTTGTTTTTAACCGTTCGAGGCTGTCTGCGCTTTTTGGACTACCGCGACCAACGCGTACGTCTATGAGCCGACGACAACACCGGACATAACAGTCACCAAGAACAAAGATGCCATAACTGAAATTGTTGGCTTGCTCCTACACCAGTTTAGACAAGTTCTTTTGTTATTGCAGTGTGCAACAGTTTTTAATGCTGGGACTTCACTGGCCAAGTGGTTTGCTTCAGTTCAATTTGGTGTCGCACGACTCTAAATGGTGGAAGTGAGCTTTTTTGGAGCAGCTTTGGGAGCAGAAATAATGTGGTTTTGGAGCAGCTTTGAAGCAGTAAAAAGGAAGTTTTGGAGCATTGAATTTTAGTTTTCGAGCAGATTTCTCGGGCCACACATCACTGTTAATTGGAATTTTCGCTTTCTGGTAAGCACAACAAATTTCAGTGGTTTTTACTAAGCATGCAATGCTGATCAAGCGACCAGACTTACCTGAAATTCATATAAAACCTTGCAACAGGAAAGGTGAAAGCGCAGTAAGTCACACAAAAAACATTAGCAGCCCTCTGGACAGCTACTAGACCTTAGATGAATGACAAAAACTTAATGTCAAAATGTTGCCATGTTCAAAATGTGATCAAAATACAGCATCCAACATGAACAGCAACTCAAGACTATAGGGGAGCTAATATAATAAAAGTTAGCTTCACACTAAACCAATTGGGTTCTATAAAAATAAATGTAAGAAAACTTATGTTCTAGTCATTGAAGTGCCACAACCGACATGAAAACCGCGAGTAAATTTAGGTTCCCTCGCTGCGCCAGGAGTTATATAAACTAGAAGTACGTAATATTCCCTGCGGATCGCACATTCTACCCGCGCGTATAATTGCGCAAGCTGGAGTGATGAGCGGTGCTTGAGCAAATTAAACGAGACAACCAATTTCTGTTGCTCGGAGGGCGCAGGCGTTAGCACCCCGTTACCTGTTAGAACTGTCGGCGAATGCTCAAACAGAGAGGAAACACGCAGCCAGTCTTGAACGAGCGCGAAAAGACGCAGGGGAAAGGGGTCCCTCGTGAAGCAACCGTGAACTTTCATTCTAATCAAGGGCGTGGTTGCGATAGCTGGCACGCGAGATATCGTCAAGTATCAGTGCACGGCTAGTAAACCATTCTACGTGAAGCACTCTCAACGGGAAGACTATTGTGCGATAGAGCATTTCTCCCTGGAGTGGACGTACTTACTATTCTCTTACTCCAGCGTTTTGTAGTTGTGAGTGTCGCGATGTTAGATCCAAAAAAATTGGCCAGCAGCCTTCGCATTGTCACGTGGTCGTGATGTTGGCGAAGGCAGCAGAAGTTGTTTTCATGAGTGAACTTTTTATTTGGGCTAACCTGTGCCCAGAAAATCAAACATCACTCTACAAGCAATACATGCGGTAGACTGATAGCAGCGAAGAGTGTCAGCCGTCAATAATCTGCCAGGCAGCAAAGTGCGTCGGTCTTTATACATGGGCCAATGAAGATTCCCACATTATCGCTAGTGGCCGCGTAAGTTCCAGAACAAACTGTAATGTATGCCTGGTGCGCGTAATCTCATCGGAAGGTTC